ATATTGTATTATTGTAACCACTTCCCCTTGTTTTCTCCCCCCCCCCCCCCCCTTTTTTTTTTTTTTCTCTCTCTGTCTCTCTGTGTCTCTCTCTGTGTGTGTGTGTGTGTGTTTGTTTGTGTGTGTGTACACAGAAACAACACTCATAGGGATACAAATGGGGGGGCAGGAAAACAAGGGGAAGTGATCTCGTGGTCTCGTGTGCTCCCAGAGGCATCTGGTGGGGCCCCCTGTGAGATACAAGAAGCTGGACTAAGAGGGGCCCTTGGCCTGATCCAGCAGGACTCCTCTTATGTTCTTATGTAACTGCTTCCGTTTTCTGCTGCTGGGCTGGTTTCTTTCTTTCCCGATCTTCTGATCCCCTGCCCTTCCCACAGGCATTCCCTTGGCTTGCACTTGTCTGTGCTGAAATTAGGCAGCCCCCCCCGCCACACACACACACACAAGCCAGAAACGCAGCTTGTAGCCTCTTTATTAGATTAACTGGGCATTTACAAAAGCGCTCCTGTGATTACATTTTAAATTGCTAACAAACTTGTAGGGCAGAGGCGGGGAGGGAGATTTGAGCGAGTGAGTTTGTCAACCAGCTGCTACCAACTCAAGGGCCAGGCTGCTGGTCTGACAGCCAGGCAGGCATTGGAGATGGCCATCCATCTGCTGAATGTAGCCATAGCCCCCTGGAAGTCTCGGTGTGTGTGGGGAGGGGGTTGGGGTGGAGAGGCTCCTGATGCATTTCCTAGGTACAGTTGGTCAATGTTGTGGTCTCATGTTCAGAATATTGGACATGGAAGATGAGACTGTCTGAGCTCCCCAGGCGTGCTGTGAAGATTAAGAGGGCGGGTAGGAGAGGAGAGCCTCGGGCAGGGCCCTGAGCCCACTGTGCTACAAACCCACCAGCCGTGCTTCCCCTCTCTGGGCTGGCCTGCCCCCCCCCGCGCCCAGACTACCTCTGAGCCCCTGCGGGGTGCCCGTGGGCCGCCTCCTCACCCCAAAGCCCGGCTCCTCTGTGCCTTGGGCAGGGCGGCCCTTCCCGTCCCACGGTGACCTGTCCATGGTGCTGAAGCGGCTGTTCCAGGGCCTCTTCCAGGCAGCCCTGTGGTGGAGCCAAGCTTGCAAGGTTGAGGCACCACGTCTTCCTGGGCTCCTGCAAGCCGTTCCTGCTCCCTCAGAATCAACTAAAATCTTCCCACTACTCGGGAGACAAATGGATCTTCCACAGAGCAGCATATTTTCCTAAACGATCCCTGGGGCAATGCAAGGCGTGAGAGGGCAGTTTGGGTCTGACTTCACAATGAAGTGCCTTTCACTTTCCTGACACCCAACTCTCCTTGTGTGTGTGTGTGTGCGCGTGGGGGGACTGACCACAGGGACTGCTGTGATGACAAGCTGCCCTTTTAAATAAACCACTACGGACGAGTGTGTGGGATGGCAGTGGGGCTACCCATAGCCTTTCCCCTCTAGAGGCTCTCTGCCTCTCAGGCATAGCCCTGTTCTTGTGCATCCCATGCACAAGGGCTGAACGAGACACAACACACGGCCTGTGAAAAGTGCTTTCCAGCTGATACAGTTTTGAAGGGGAGGGCAAGGCGGGGGAGGGGAGAGGAAGGGGTGAGCACACAGACTGGGAAGGTTCCCTCACCCAGAAGCCCCAGCCTCTGTGGTTCTCCCAAGCTCCTCTTGTTTGATTACAACTTTGGTGGTGCGTCAGGCTGATCAGAACCACTTCCCCCTCCAGCTGCTTTTTTCCAGCCATCAGGACAAGATGCCGGGCATATCGGTCTTTGCTTCCCTTTTGTGGGGAGTGAGCCAGGAGTGCACAGTTTTGATCAGCTACGTGGCCACTATGTGACCTCTAAGAAAATGGTTAATCTGCCCCTCCCCTCCGCCCTCCAGTTCCCTCCCTCCCCAAAACCCTGGCTGCATTGAAGTCAAGGTGCAGCAAGCTGTCAGGAGATACACCCTCTCCCTTTGACTTTGTCTGTGTGAAATGCTGCAGACAATCCTGGCCTTGATGTGCGGGTCGTTCATTACCTTATGCGGTGCCATTGCCAGTGTTCTGCAGAGAAGCCTTCCTCCGTCCCTCAAGCGGCACCCGCCAGATGCATTGAACTACAACTCCCATCAGAACCACTTACCACACAGGGTGGGGCGGGGACATGATAGATATTGTGGTCCAATGTACGGGGAGGGCACAAAAATTTATGGAAGGCTGCTGTACGCAGTAGGACAGAAACCCAAAGGCACGTCCAGGCGCTCCAAAGACATCCACACTCACACCTGCGCCTCCCTGTACCCCGAGGCGTTGTTCTCCTGAGGGAGCAGGACTCGGAGGGGGGGGATGTCCTTTGGCCAAAGAGAGAGATGGAAAGAGGGGGAGGCCTCGTCCCATAGGGCTTCTGGGAGAGAATGCCAAGGGTGCAGGGGGTCCCACCCCTCCTGCCACTCCCTGGAAGACTTGCGCAAGGCCTGACTCCTCCTGGGCAGAAGCAGGAAGGGAGAGAGATCTCTGGGTGCTGTGGGCACTTCACATCCCCCGTGAAGTGGCCAGATGCCATTGGAAGCATCCGGGGTTTTAACCAGCCTCCCCACCAGTCTCCGCTCACCGTTTTCTACCAGAACGTTCCTCTCCTTGCTGTGGACCCAGCCATTACTGCAGTCCGATTTATGGCGGAATAAAGCTTTTCCGGTTGGAATGGCTCCGTCTTCCCCCTTTCCTCCCCCCCCACTCCTCCTTCCCCACCTCAGGATGGTCAATAGATAATTGTGTGCATTTATTCTGGCTTGTCTGAGGGGGCAGCACTTTCAGGGCCTGGTTAGGCATATCTTTTGGTGTAGTCGGGTGGAATGATACAATACAGTTAATTGGAAGGAGCCAGAAATGATGGCTCGCTGGCGATGCCCGGTTCTTTCTTCTTTTCTGTGAGTGGAAAGAGTAAATTGGGCATCTCTAAATCAAGTGATTCTCTACCAACTGGGGTGCATTGATGTGCAAATGAACATGCAAAGGGAAAGAGCATGCAGAGCCCTACACACACACACACACACACACACACACTCTTAGCCTTCCTCCTCAGAAATGGGTGGGGACTCCGGCTTGTGCAGCATCTGTGTGCTGTCCATGGGTCTAAAAATGTTCTTACTGTGCCCTCCTCCTGAATCTGCAACCAGCTTGCCCTCTTCCCGGAGGGATTTTGCCTTCTCTGCTGCTCTGGTGCTGCGGCGTGGTTCAGAAAAGGGCTAGTGCAGTGGGGGGGTGGGGTGGAGGAATTGGCATGGGCCAGTGGGCAGCTCAGCCCCCTTTGCCCAGAGAGCAGCAGCAGTGCACCCAGCCTTCTCTGCAGAGGCTTGGAAGCACTGATTCTCTTCAACTGCAATGCCTAGTAGCCTCATGCAGCACCACGGGAGATTTTGGGAGCTGGGAGCCACAACAAAAAATAGTCCAAAGAAAGAGAGAAAGAAAAAGGCTTTCTCTGAGCTCTGCTGAGCACCTGCGGGACCACTGACCACACACCTCTCGCAATAGGTTCCCTCTTGAGCGCTGCTGCCTTAGCCTGGGCCGAGCCACATTTGTCCAGCCCTGCTGCCTCCAGCAGGCTGTGGACCTCTATGGACTCCCAAAGGGAAACCCCGGCTACTCAAGAGCCATTTTCCTAGAGACACAGAAATGGGAGTGGGCAGGTGGGACCGCTGTGTAGGGTCTCATCCAGGGCCTTCTGAGGTAGGGTTGCCAGTGAGTCCTAGAGCACTGGGCTTTTAAATGGAAACTATGAGACTAGCCAGCAGTTATTTAGCACCCAGTGAAGTCTGGAGTCAATTGAAGGGGCGGGGGGGGGGAGAGAGACAGGGGGAGTCTCAAAAGAGCCAGGTCAAAGCTATATGGAACAGCGCTTCCCTCTAAGGAGGATTTTGCCATTCAGAGTTCAGAAAGGAAGGGAAGGGAAGGGTCCCACTAGCCAGGAGCTGACGTTCCATTTCCGGGGATCATGTCCTAAACATAAGTGGCTGAATCAAGAGACCCCTGAGCAGGGAGTGAGGTTGATAACTACCTCTCGTGGCAGAAAAGGGCCAGAGGTTCCTGTCTCCACCTTGGAGGCACTTTGGGAATCACACGGCAGAGCTACTCTCAAGGAGCTTCGGGGGGGGGGGAATCTACCCTCTCCAAGACCTTCCAGAAAGTCCCACAAGAACCTAGAGAAATTCTACCAAGTTGCAGGAACCCTGGCATATGCTAGCCGTTGAGCCCCCTTGCTTTGGGCAGTAAAAATCCAGGATCTCTGTTCCTGCAAGAAGAAGGCCCGCCCCGCAGGGTCCTACAAGACCCCACGGCAAAAGGCTCCAGACCGATAGCCTAGGCAGTTCTGGCCCTCAGCAAATTGGATTTGACACCAGGAGACCAGGTGGGACCTTTGCCCTTCTGGCCCAGCCCTCAAGATCCTGTACCCAGGACGCTTGACACTTCGGGTTTCTTTAGCCACCATGTTGTGCTCTCCCTGAAGTAGAAAAGGAGTGGATTTGCCAATCTTTCCGCCTGTGTGTATTGCTAGATCAGAGAGAAAGGAGATGATGAAGCACCTCGGATAGACTATGCAATGATGGAGCTGGGGGCAGGGCAGGGTTGGGAATCTGCCTCTGGGCTGGCAATCCACTGGAGACCGTCTTCTGGAAAAGAGGAAGGGAAAGGACAGCTTGTGGATCATGTTCCGTTGCAAGGGGGAGACTTGTGGAAGTTAAAAGGGGGCGGGGGGGCTTCCAGTGGAAGATGCTGCAGCGGCGAGCCTGTGTTACTGACTCTGTGTAGTTGAGTGACTGTTGTCCTCTGAGTCGGGGCAGCTGCCATCGGGGGGGGGGGGGGGGGAGGTCTTGAGAATGGCCACAAGAGCAGTTTGTTGGGGTGGCCACGCTCCTTGATGTTTTGGGTGGTGCCATCAACGTGAATCCCGTTGGAGCTCACTTGGCATTTCCTCTCTCTCCCCCTTTCCCTCTTTCTCTTCCCCCCATAGTGCTCAGTATTGGAGAAGGAGGCTTTTGGGAAGGAACCGTGAAAGGACGGACTGGCTGGTTCCCCGCAGAATGTGTCGAGGAGGTGCAGATGCGGCAGTACGACTCCCGGCAAGGTAGGTTCCTCCTGCAGGAGGCCACCAAGGGGAAGGCCAGGGAGAAGTTCAGACACGGGCGCACCCTCCCAAGTGCCGCCGGCTCTTTTCCTCAGAGGATCGCCTGGGTTTCGTGGGTAGAGCTGTGGGGTGGAATGAAGGTTTGCTCTCAGGGCTGTCCGCCTCTGGGCTTCTCGGTGGTGGGGAGTCTAGTTTGGAGATGGTGCCCTTGGCTGCAAGGATCACTCTGCAGGTAGGACCTCCTGATTCAGCCAGCCTTTCACGGCAGGAGAGCTGCTCAAGTAAGGTGCGATGGAAAAAGCAAAGCCCCCTTATCTCCAACCCTTCTCAAAGAGGTGATCCCAGTTCACAAGCCCCCAAACCTCTGCCGCTGTTCCCTTCTGAACATCTTGTCTCCAAACAGTCTTCCTGACAATAAGACAATACTTTGGAGTCAGACACAGAGTGAGTTCTCAGGAGCTCAACAGACTTTGCCAACGAATGCCATCTGCACAGGCCTTGTTTTCTTTGAGACCGGACTGTTTCTCTTCTTTGAACACCTGTGGAAACCCAGCACAGCTTTGTGCTCTGGTGTGTCTGTGTCTGGGTGTTGTCTCTGCATACCCCTGTGAGTTAATTCATCATCCTTAGCAAAAAGATAACAAATAGTTTGCCATTTGGAGGGACAAAATATTGAAGTCACACACAGCTTACTGAGTGCCAGGATGGTGAAGCATCTTCGAGTTTTTTCCCTGAGATCTCACTGAGGATTAGACACTTCATCTCCAGTCTTTTTCTTCCTTCTGCTTCATCAGGTCCATAGTGGGCCATCAGAAGGCTTCCCTATATTGTCAAGAGGAAGAGTGGCTGACAGGTTGGACCAGTAGAGTCTCTACCAGGATGTCTTAATCTATGGGTGCATAGCTTGTTTCCTTCTTGTTTTAATACTGCAAATGAGAAAGATCTTAGAATCACTGTAGATCACAAGCTGAATATGAGCCAACAGTGTGATGTGGCTACAAAAAAGGCAAATGTTATTTTAGGCTGCATTAACAGAAGTAGACTCTCCAGATCCTGCAAGGTGCTAGTTCCCCTCTATTCGGCACTGGTTGGGCCTCACCTTGAGTCCTGTGTCCAGTTCAAGACACCACACTTTAAGAAGGTTGCCGACAAACTGGAACCAGTTCAGAGGAGGGCAACAAAGTTTATCAGAGGGCTGGAAACCAGAGAAAGTTTAGCCTTGAGCAGGTTTAGCCTTGAGAAGAGAAGACTGAGGGGAGATAGGAGAGCACTTTCAAAATATTTGAAAGGCTGTCATGCAGAGGAGAGGCAGGATCTGTTCTCCATCATCCCAGAGTGCAGGGTACACTACAATGGGCTTAAGTGACAAGAAGCCAGATTTTGGTTGAATATCAGGAAAAACCTCTTAACTGTTAGAGAAGTACAGAAGTGGAGCCCATGACCTTGGGAGGCGGTGAATGCTCCAACCCTGGAGGCATTCAAGAGAAATTTAGTCAACCGCCTGGTAGATATTTGATTTATATTCTTGCCTTGACCAGGGGGGTTGGACTCGATGGCCTTATAGGGGCCTTCCAACTTCATTATTCTATGATTCTGATCTCATTCTCCTTACACAAGGAAACATAAAGTGAAACCCACCCATTTTTAATGCGGATGGGCACTGCAAAAGTTTAAATGCCCCCCCCCAAACACGCAGTGCCCAGGACAACCTGCAATGGGGTAGGGACTGGTTCTCCCAACTTTCTACTTTCAATTAATGAGGTTGGTTCAGTGCAGGGAAGGTCTTTTTGCCAGTTGTGCTGCACAAGGGTTGTGCATGAATTAAATTATGTAATAACCATCATTGCCATCATCTTAGAACTACAAAGCTGGAAGGGACCCTATGTCTCATTGAATCCAGCCCTTGTCTAAGAGGCCCAGCGGGGGGGGGGCATTACTCTCCCAACCTCAGGCTGTGCATCCAGAGACCTCAACTACAGAGCTCTCCAACCTTCTTCCATAGCTACATGAGGGGCAGGCAAGGAGCATCTGTTGCATCTGTTCCCAATGAGAGTTGACCAGCACTAAGACCACAATGCATGTAGAGGCACAACAGTATCCTCAGGAGTTCCCACGTTGCCGCAGAACTGATGTGGATGATCAGATAGAAGGGGTTGCGCCGTGTAGCGGTCGCAGAGTCAGGCGGTGGGAGCTTGTGGTGGGACGCTCACCATATGACTTTGCATCGGTCTTTGAAGTGGCCTGACTGCTACACTCCATGCCTCCATGAAAGTGGGCTGCAGCCACAAAAGCTCTCCCTGAAACAGGCCTGCTCGTCTTCAAGGTGCCGCACAGCTTTTGCCTTTATTGCTGTCACCTCTTGAAAAACCCTAGGAGGTGCGGCGTTTTCGTCCCTTCTCTGCAGGCGGCCGCCTTCGCCCTTGAGCCTGTCCCCAGGGTGGGTGGCGAAGCTGTGACTTAAACCCAAGCCAGCTCTCCGAGAGGGAAGGGGGGGCGCTTGTGGGTGTGGGTGTGCATGCAGATGGCCACACGCTCCTGGTTGTGGATTGCTTTTGCTTTCAAAATCGGAGAGGCCGTTGTCGCCCAGGAGGGAGGTGGGAGGCTAAATCCGGAACCATCAAAATGCCAGAGAGATATGCAAGCTCTCAAGTCCTTCCGAAGTTTTGATCACAGCAGGTGGTGTGGGAAACACATGGGTAGGTGTGGGGTGGGTGTGGGTGTGTTGCTGGATGAAACAGGCAAAGTCTGGTTGTGGATTTCCTGCATCAGCCCATCCACTGCTGACCCCCCCCCCGGGCCCCGTCGCACTCCCTCACTCTGTAACTCTGCGCTTCCATGCAAGAGAGCTGGTCCAGGACGCCAGCAGTGAAGAGGAGGAGGGGGGCCTCAGCTGGAGTGTGGAGAGACAGGTTGGTAGGACCTGCCAGCCCTACTTCTGTGGGGCAGGCTCCTTGCTTGTGGGTGGGTGGGTGGGTGACTGACCCAGGGAGCGTATGCCTGGCCTAGAAGGCAGGGTTTGTGGGGCTGAGGAAGGCCTGCTTGGGAGTCCCGCCAGGCACCCTGTTCCTGAACACGACGTGCTTGGGGAGGGACACTCTTCACATGTCTAGAGGCTCTTGTATGGGCCGCATGGCATTGGCTCATTTTCTTAGGGAAAAAAATTTCTTAGGCTAAAAATGCCACGGCGTGGTGCTCTGTAGGCAGGCAGACAAAGCCCCCCAGGAGGACAGGAGTGTATGTCCCTCCACCACCACCACCCCCAGCTACAATGTAGGTGTCCAACCACCCAAGTCTCCTCTTGGGTGAATGAGTAGAACAAGGAAGCTTGGCTTAACTGGAGGGCGATGTTTCCAGGCTGTACTTTATGGAGATATTTCTCACCTCTCTGCTGAGACACACACCTCTATTCCCCTCCAGCTCAAGGCTGGCATAAATGCCATGGAGATTCTGGGACTTGTAGTCCAAAAATTACTTTGCTTAAGCTCTGGATGCCTCATGCCACAGTAGTCAGTAAAAAGTGGAAGACCATGGGGTGGAGGTGGGGGGGGTGCAAGCTCTGCAGGCTTGGGGGCCAAATCGGAGCTCCCAGCCCCCACTGTGGGCCACATCAGCCTGAAAATGACTGGAATGGCCATTTTAAAAAATCAAAATGGGAAGTGCCTAGATGGGGCACGTCTGGGTTTTGGGGGGCTAGGGGAAATCTTAGGGCATTCCCCTCCTCAAAAGAACTGAGACAGGATTTTTTTGGCCTTTAAAAAAACCAAATGTGGCGGGGAGGCTCTGGTCTGGCCACAGTAAGGTTTCTGGGGTCCACCAGTGACTCACAGTCTGCGCTTTGCCTGCCCCTGGCCTAGCAGGTGAGAACCCTAACCGGTGATGCCTCCCCAGGACTGGACAGTTTCCATCAAGAGGTTCCCCGTGGACTCTCTCTCTTTCCCATTCTCCTGGTGTGTGAGAGAATGTGCATGCATGCACATGCGCACGTATGTCCTTTAACCCAGGGGTCTTGAAGAGGTACTGTGGTCTACATAGGGCTACCCTTGAAGCCGGTTGGGAAGCTGCAGTGCGTGCCAAAGGCATTGGCCGGGCTTTTATCAGAGGCACCTTAAGGGTGACTGTGCCTCCTCGGCCTTGTCCCGTTCCCAGGGGCTGTCGGTGGGCTCCCTGGCACCCTCTAATGCCCTGGAGTTCACAGTCTTTGGAACGTCTTTTTGCGACCAGCTCCCCAGGAAAATGTCTTTTAAGTGTGAAGCCGAGCAGAGATCCTTGGGACGCTGGATCTTGCCCTTGGTGCTGTGTGATGGTGCTGGGCAGCTTTCAGCTCGGTGGGGTTTGAGTTGGGGGAGGACTGACTTAATTTTGGAAGCTTGGCACATGCCTCCACTTTAAAATTAGCAAACAGATGGTGAAGATGGACTGCAGCAAAAGGGCTGAATAATGAGAGTGGGGAGGGATGAGCCCTCGGAGAGGGCTGTGCACAAACCCGGGGAACCAGGGACCGAGCAAGAAATGTGCGAGGCCTGCCGATGGGGATGCACCTGGCATGACGGAGCAGCAAAGAGCAGCCTAGGCTCCCTGACCGAGAGGAAGGGAGAGGAGGGAGGGAGGGAGGGGAGCCCTGATGCTGGAAGCGGGCCAGCGTTAGCCAAAAGAAGAGCAGAGGCTTTGGTTGGGGGCAGGGAGCTCTCTGAACGGTGGTCAAAGTCAGAGCGACCGCTTGTGGGGAAGACAAAGCAGTCGCCTCGTGTGGCAGATTTTTGGTCAGTGTCGGCGCCAGCTGTCCCGCCATCTAAGATAGGAAGGGAGCCACTGCTGCCACTGCCCGTCGTCATCCCCCTTGAAATGTTGAAGCAAAGTGGTGGGGGAGGGGCGGTGCTGTTTCTTGCACCCTCTCCTCCACCTGCCTCCTTTGGCCCTGCCCACATAGCCATGTGAGTAACTCCAGGGAGCCGAGGCCACCTGAGGAGAGGTGGCCAAAGAGGTTCCCTGCAGCTGGCTGC